CTCGTAATGGTCGTTCACGTGTCAAGTAGTTTACCCCCACACACCCCTGAGTGTTGTGTCAAAGAATGTTGTATTTCCTTCCAAACCTGTGATTTGTAGACAAATGTCCGTGGTGATTCTTCGTGTTCACTCAGCACTATTCTCCTTACTGTAAAGTCAATATATATTATTTTGTATGATCTGTTAGTAAATTTCTAAATGTGTATGTTATGTGTACAGAGCGGGCTGGTAAATCACATATTTCAAAAATGTAAAAATTTGTAATTATATTTAGCTGGATAATTAACAAATTCACTCAACACTTGCCATCAGAACAATCATAATATTCCATTAAATTCTCTGGAAGAAGCACCCAAATAATTTATGTACAAACTCGCCTTACAAGTAAATCTGAAATGAAATTATGCTCTCGAGTTTGAAGTAGGTCTATCTATATTTTTAAATAATTAATTTAATTTTTTTAATTTATCTTTTTTTAAATAAGCAATGAATATCCATGAAGTCAGTGATAGATTCACTGAAATATAATATGTGCATACAAACAACTGTTTACACTGTGTACGATACTAATGCCAAATGCGTTTCGACCTCAAGAGGTTATCATCAGTAGCACAAAAAGCAAGTTAATTCATATAATATAAATCAAAAGATCATGATTTTATAATTGATGTGCGTGGATGACTTGGTGGCTCATCATATTCCATGCCTTCCCTGCCTTCCAAGAATCGTTTCTGCCATTCGAACACACGTGCACGAGACTTACAATCTTTACTGTAAGCCTCAGTCAATAAATGGAAAGTTTCCGCCGCGGATTTCTTAAGTATAACGAGAAACTTAATGTTAAAACTTCGTTCCAATTTACAATCTGACATTTTTCGACCGAACGTTAAAATATGTCTGTACAAAAACACACGTCCACTGTTACTAAATGAAGCGATCAAATTTAAACTTGAATCACTGGTGGAGGATAGATCAAGGTCAAACATGGTCTGTTTATTTACCCTCACTATCACTGGTTGCTTAGATACAGCATCAGTCTCGTTATGTTTGTGTCAGTCCTCTTACCTTTAGACATAAAGAAGACTGATATGTACAACCATGTTTCAAACATGTGATAGTACAACTGCAGGAAATTCATGCGATAATGCATTGCAGGTAGTTTCCGTTAGTTCGTAACACAGTCTCGTCAGTCTTCAGACAGAATTCACTTCCCCAGACGTCGACAGAAGGGGAACATAATTAATGGTCTATGCAGTGAACACACAGTAGGCTATTCACTGAATGACTTACCTCACGCTTCAGGGAACTCTGGTAATGAGCGGCGACGACTAAGCAGAACTGGCAAGACACAGTTAAGTTATCATTAGCCCACAAGCAGTCCTTCTAAGGAGGAGAACTGTAATTCTTGCAAGATGGAGACTTTATCATTGTTTTCCATGAAAGCTCATTCTGTAAGCTCTCACATCTAGGTTAAGTTTAACATGCAATTTTACCTAATACAACATAGCCTCAACATTGCAATCCGGGTTAATACAATAGTCTATTTGCTTTACAACTTTGCACAGACTGACAGTGAAATTCAGAAACAGAAATTCTCATTAGCGCATTAAATCTAAGTTGAGAAGGTGGCTGTCTTCTGGGTTGTATACAGCCGTGTAGTCTGGTAGAAGTTTACCCAGAAGACAGCATCTTCGTGCTTACCACCGTGACAACCTCAGATCCTAATAGGCCCTATAATACCTTTAATATTATGTGACGTCAGAAGATAAAAATGGGAAGGGCTTGTAGTAAACTATGAGAAAGTTCGTAGTGTCACTGTAGGAAAATTCGACTAATGTTTGCATTTCTTATCGGCCTTCCTTGCCCGAACGTTTATTACAGACCCGTAAGGAAAACATTTCCATAAATTGGAATATACCTCTTTTTGCAGCATTGCCCACAGTAATTAATTTCAAGGAGTTCCTTGTCTATGAATATAAACAGCACTTGGGCCCTTCCTTCCTCCTCAGATTACTCGTATCATATCTTCATTGAATGTCAAATGTACCGCAATACAACGACAATCTGAGGAAAGAAAGTAAATATTTTAATTATTAAATAATTAAATAATTGAATTGTCAATTTAAATATAAATTTATATTTACAATCTTTAAATGATGATGCTTTACAAATTAAAATATTAACATTAATATTTCTAGAGTATTTAAGAAGTTATAGTACATCATCCCTCCTAGTTTTTAGAGAGAGCTATGTTGTGCGTTCTTACCACGAAGATTCAACATAGAACTTCTGTAATTAAAATAATCACAACGGCGATCGACGCATTTTGTGACCCTGGAATGATACTTGAATAAAAGCAAAGTCCGTCCTGACTACAATACAAACTTACATATAACACAATACGTTTTATCACGTCTGGATCTTCATTCAACCTCAAGTCATCATCAGACCTTTACCGTGCTACTCTTGTCACAGATACGTTGTCTGGATACGCGCTTCTCTGGTTGTGCTGCGTATTGGACGTGAAAAACAATAAAGTGGGTGTTTTTTTTGTGAAGCAGGGCTAAATTATTTAAGTTCCAGTTCAACTCTAGAAGCACTACGGACTGTATCCTTGCGCTTGACGGGTGGTCCTTGAGAAGATCTCTTAAAAGCATTTAACAAAATAGAAACAACTTTCAAGAATAGTATTGCAGAAAACATAAATAGTGCCATCTCTCATAATAAGATTTATTTAACAAACAGCATTTGATACTGTTACAGTGTTAAGCACTTGTCTTACAAATACAAGAACAATAAATAAATTAGCCACATTCTGATTCATCGGTTTCTATAAAGCAACAATATTCAAAGGAATAATATATTTCTATGTGTTGTAACATAAAATAATCCACTTTAATATCATCGACAGCAAAAATATGAACCTCTTCTTAAGCAATAACTCTGTTAGTCAAGAAATTTCCCACCTTTCATGGAACAAAAACGTTCATTGCCTTGTTTAGAATAGTTCGCCATCAGTTCCTATCCTGACTCAAGCGAATCTAGTCCATAGCCTTGCCCATATTCCCTTAGGATCCATTTCAAAACTATCCTCCAGTCCAGGTCTGCCCAACCTTTTTTGCTATGTGGGCAACTTCGACAAAATTTGGTCTGTATGCGGGCAGCATGAAATTTAATACATAAAATGTGGAATGTATAAGTATACGTATAATTATACTTATATATATATACTTTTATCTGCGTATTTTTCTGTACATTATATACAATAAAACACACTGATAATAATGTAAAAAACTTGTAAAAAAAAGCAATTCACAACCTAGGCTAGGGTGTGTTTATTTTTGGCGCATTTTTACAAAATTAATTAGTAATGTATGTCGCCATAAATAAAAAGCTCATGACCACTACACTGAGAAATAATTTTATTTTCTTCCCACAAAAACACTAAAAATATAAAACTTTTGTACCTGACATGAAAACCGTAAGACAGCCACAAACATTCGCCTAGACACGTACAGGCGTACTAAGAGTCAGGAACCGGCGTACATATACTGCAGACTCTCGAGTTTAAAAGGTGGTCCCCCAGTTTGAAAACACTAAAAGCTAAGGATTGTCTCCACCATGTGTTGTGTTTCACGTCGCATAGATTTTATCTTGGGTGTGATCTTTTGCACAATAAGACCGACTGTAAGACCAGCAATGAAAATATTAAAAGAAGCCGCTGCTGGTGCCAGCACATTTGCAAGTCGTCAACTAGAAAACATCCCCGTGAGAATTCATGTCGGCAATCGTCCACAGTTATTTTAATCCGGGCAAAGAACAACCGCTTTCATAAAGTTTATGATAGGGTCACTGGGCAATATGGAAGTGGTGGTAAGTTTTCTTTCATAGTTTGCCAGGAAACAGGTGGAATTGCTTTGGCGTAATATCTCGCGTTGGCCAGGGAATCGGTTAAAAGACCTTTTATTATTTCGAATGTCTCAGCGGTCAATATAACACTATCGTGGGCAACATGTTGTCCGCCACCTACAAGTTGGTCGGGCCTGAGATAGAGTGTTTAAAAGAAAGGAATACATACATCAATGACATATCAACTCATTAACATTCCTCAACTATTGCCAAAATCTGATGTTTAAGACAATAGGACGTTATTACTATCTACTGGAGTATTTTTGTTAAAAGTAATTGATACGTGCTATATTAAGTTTTATACAAAATCTTTCTTATTAGTAGGTCTATAAAAATATAAGTAGTGTATGTCTATGATTAAAATTGCGTATTTATTATGTTTGCTTATTTTTCAATAATTTGAACGATGATCTAAGTTTTGACTATCCCGGAAAATATATTTCCCAAAAGACCAGGAAAATCGGAAGTCTAGTTTACATTCGGTTTCGTCTTCGCCATTAACAACGCTTTACTGAGAAAGCAGTTACAATCTTGGCCGGAGTAATGTCATTTTTAAAGATAATGTTTGCACATCTCCCTCGCCCAATTATGTTGGGTACAAAAGGAGATACAAAAGGAGACTACAGTGTTACATTTCGGAGAATAATAATATTGTTATCGCCAGGTTTCATTATGAAACCTAGGTTAAAATTTCATCACCTTGAATGTTTTATTGAACGGAATATTTTACGATAATTGGCATTCTTTCATACCACGCACCTGTCAGTCAGAACTTGATTAATATGCAATGCAATAAGCAATTCGCATAAAACACTCCGATATGTTTCCTGTAATTTCTGGAACTGAACAGAATTTGATTACATTTTAAGATAATACAATAAAAGAGAATTAACACTTTACTTCCATGAAAATTTCAATACAAAAGAAAATGGATTTTTTTAATAATTAATGGACAATACAAAAGCAATTAGACAGGCATTCGTTGGTGGGGAATTCTTAGGACAGTAATTGAAAATAGTTGTGTCTTTCAAACGTGAAAAGGGAAGAATAAATAAAAAGAAACGGGCGATAAACTTTAAACAATGGGCATTGTTTGTCGATTTTGTAGTCCTAATACTTATTATGCATGTCTAAATTTAAGTTGTCTGTGAACTGTAATTAGTAAAACCAGCGTCCGTTACAGCCTTATTTTAAAAACACTTCCTTGACCTTTAGTAACCTAGTTACCATTTTATTCACTTCCAAGATATTCAGAGAAGAATTAACTGCTTACTCTATTCTGTTATCACTGAACACGTAGCGTCTTGAAGTTTCTTGATGCGTAATTAGCATAAATTTAAAAAACTACATAATAGAATTCTAAATTTAGCGGTGAGCCTAAAGATTCTTCATTTGTACGAAGAACAAAGTCAAACTGGTCGTTTACGATAGATTCGTAACATGGAATTACAAAGGACATAGAAACAGAACTCGAGGAAGAGTACAAGAAGTAAGTTTGGATTGGTTTAAATGTAGACTAATGTCAACACTGGAAAACGCTAACCTAAGAAGTCTCGCTTTTTAAAGATCCTCCCTGATTTCTCAGGATCACTTGTTAGATGTGCCTGTTGAGAGGACACAACGTCGAGACATTTTCCAACTACATGATGAGTTACATTAAAGTGAGTTATAGTAATTGGATAATGCTTACTAGTGTAATAAAAGCGTGTATCTGTGTGTGCGTATTGACTAATTCTCTCGATGACGTTAAGGAGTATTATACTCCATGTAACTTAGGCAAGACGTGATCTATAACGTATGTTCAACGAAGAGGAAGCAATTCATTACACTGCTGTTATTAGTGTACATTTCTCCGTCCTGTCCGACATAAATCGCTATTCGCTTCGGTTCCTTACAGCAATTTATGCCGCACGTAACCTGACATATAACATGAGGAAAGTAAAACTAATGATTCATCATTACCACTTGTCCCGATCAAATAATATCCACTTCAGATTATGATTTTTACGTATAGCAGAAACTGAATATGAAAGAGCGAGTGTAAAATGAAAAGTTGTGATCATTCGGAAATGTTCGGGTTCCCGAAAACAACGTTCGAAAATTTTAAATGAAACCGTCTCTAACACAACACAAAACATTTAGCGCCTAAATGGAAAATATCAATAGTTTAGTAAGAATAGGTACGTTAATTTGATAATTTATTTTTTTATTAAAAATATTTGTTTGTAGAATTTGTATAAGAAAGACATTCACATAAGTTTCGTAGGACATGCGATTCTGACCATACAAGAGTATAAAGATGTGTAACGCAGAAAACTATTTATTACCAAGAAACAAGTGCCCCTGTAAAACGATAACTTCGTTGAAAGAAACAAATTTTTAAACATAATTTCTCGGGATTAGTGAAAGTATTTGGGGAATCGATTCTTGTCTTCCTTAACTCTCTTTTAAATACCCAGGTTACCGTTACGTTGCGGTATAAGGTATTGCAAGTCAGTGTTTGTTGTAAGCTGCTCTCTTGGTACTTGTTCGGACAGTATAAGGAAGTAAGCGTAAGAATATAGCCAGAATAGCCGACAATCCGGTCAAAATTCGAAACAATTACCACCCAAATACAAGCGTAAAACACTACCAACACACCAGCTCTCTAACAAAAGAAACTAACTCAGCTTGTGAGTACTCGACAGGAAATTATGAAAAGAACTGAACTCACGATTTAAAATTATTGCCACACAGCGAGTACAAGATTTATGGGCTTTTAAAACTATTAATAAATAATTTATCACCTTCACACACACACGAAATTCCACATTCCGCCAATACATTAATAACTAATAACACAGTTTTTCTTAAGAATAGAATCACAGTGTACAACAGTACAGCACTAAAACACAAAATAATTAACGATCAAGCAGAGGATAATATTTATACAAGAAATTAGTTTCTATTTGTGTATTTCAAAAAGTTAATTAATAAAAATATATTTATTATTAATACAATGTAAAAGGCAACCTAAGTACGTAATATTTGAAGTATACTATACAAATAAAGTTACTAAATACTCCCGGGCGATCAGTGGAAGCTGATGATAGAAACTTAATAGGTCTTCGAAACCTTTCTTTGTAACTCAACAATGACGTCCTTGGTGGTACCTAGGCAAAAGTTTTAAAGTGTCCACCCCTTTTCAGTTTCCCGATTACAATTTCGTATTTATCTGTTTCCCCTTGCGTGCAACATACTCCATCTACAGGCAAATTATGAGGCTTCTTGTACTTATATTTCTTCTAGTGTCACAATGTTTTCATGCATTAACACCTTCTATATGTCTTCAAATTCACTTTATTGGATCTGAGAGGAAATTACAAGAACGTCAAATGAAATTGTTGTCCATTGCATGACGCCGATGTTGTTTCAACATGGGCGCCATTTCACTGTTGTAACGTCTGTCTCCTTGGTAACGAGTAGCACAATTATTTTCTGTCTAGCAATAAAGAGTGCGTGCCGTAATTTAGATTTAAAACTATGGCTTAGTTGCAGAATGGTATGCATTGAGGACTTTGGTTAATTCGGTGATGAATCTTCAG